TTTTATATCTTATAGGGAGTTGCTGTTTTATGGTATTTTCAAACTTCACCCCTTCTAAGATGCTACAAGTCCGGTTATGTAGAAGTTTGGAAGTAGATCTCATCATTTCTTTGACTTGGAGCCCTGGGACCTTTAAACCACCTAGCAGTGTTTATTACCACGAGCAGTCACCAACAACATGACAGGAATTTAAAGACTAATTAATGAAAAAAAGCTATATATTGAAGAAAGAATTACTTGCCCAAGAAGGAGGTTGCTCCAATAGCTAATCATATGGATTATGTTTCAGTATATCAGCAGTAAAGCTTTTCCATTATTGAGAGAAGGCACATCAAATTGTTTTTAGCATGTGCTTTGCTACTGGAGTAGATAATGTCGACACCATAAGGAATTACAAGAGGTGGGTCAACTTGCTCACCTAGCTAAGTTGCCGAAGTATGATTGATGAAATCAGTTGTTTAAAGAATAAATCAATATCCCTAAGTCAGAATGAGAACTTTAACTCTCAAAAATGAGAGATGGCATGACGGATTGCAAGGCATAGCAGTTTGGTGAACAAAGCTCGTTAGGCAGAAGCAACCATTTAAAAAAGCAAGGAGAAAGAATACATTAATAGTTGCACTAACTTTCTAACAATAATGCAATGCCTTCACCCAAAGAAAGATATGCCCTCTTATATAGGAATGTGACAAACGTCAAATACTACAACTAAAGTAGAATTAAACTGATATATCCAACACTCTGTGAGGAAGTAAATCAAGAAATTCCAAGTTCGAATTCTACAAATGCTACACTTGAAAGTTGAAACAAGGTTTCAAAAAAGAAGATACCTTGATAAGAAGAGCTTATGGAATGATGTGTAGGAAGATGACCTCAAAGGATTCATTATATGTTTATACATGACCCTTTGCGAAGGAAGTTACAAACCACTGAAGAACTGAAAAACAGACATGCAGGGGCGTAGCCAGGACAGAAGTTTAGGGGCGCTGGTTAATGGTTATGAACTAAAAAAGTGTAAACGAGTAAAGAGTTCGGACATAATGATTAAACTTCATAACAATATTTTTAGGTAGTACATAAAATATATGAAATTAAAACTGTAGTTGGACACGGTGTTCTTTGACCTTAGCAAACTCATCAACGACAACCTCAACATCAATTTTGTTGGCAAGCTCTCTTCCAATAAAAATGCATAAACAATCGACAAGCAATACATCCTCCATCTTGTTGCGAATTTCAGTTTTCACGTGTTTATATTGTAGAAAATGACTTTTATGTGACTGCAGTAGAAACCGGTAAAGTCAAGACGTATCAATCGTTAAATCATTTTGAATTCTTCTGCTTTTCGGGATTTGACCAAGCTATTCACTCAACTTTGCAAGAGAATGATAGTAAAAGCGGGGATTTTGAACTATGTGAAGTTCATAAAATTGCAATTCACTCTTCAAAACATGTCTCTCATGCGATTGAAAGTTACCAAGATAAAAGTCCAAAGCGAGCTTGTAGATATCATCACCATCGTATGATTCAAATGATTTTTTTGTACTCAAAATAACATTAAATCGAAGTGATTTAACTGACGATACATTAAATCTACACTCCAACTCCGTCAATTGAAAATCAATACTTTGGGTGAAAAATTCAAACCGATAATAATGCTTTATATCCACCTCTTTTCGACCACGTCTTAGCTTGCTTTTCATGTCAACTACATTAATTTCATGCTACAAGAAAAATCATGGACTTTCTAAAACACTCTCATCTGTTATTCTATAACTTTTGAAGCAAATCTTTGGCAGTTTCTACAAAATCAATTGCAAATAAAACGTCAACATTATGTAAGCACCATTAAAGTAGTTCTAGTAAATGCAAACCAAACACAATATCAAAGCTCTTAACATTTGCGTAAGCACCAACCAAGCCAAACTTGGGATTTGGACTAGCACATGCAATATTTCCAAAAACTTTACACGTTGCATTATAAATTTGTATCATACTAAAGATAGAATCATAATGTGAAGGGTCGGAGCTAGGAGAGGGCCAGCCCTGGCCCTAGCCCAGCCTAAATTTAAAAAATGTCTATATTTTTAGTGTAAAAAATTATGTGTAAAAAAATTTTCAAAAATATTCTTTGTATCGGCCCAGTGCCCTAGCTTCGCCCCGATAATGTGAGCCCTAACTAGTGGTACCTGCAATGTGTAAGGATGACATTTGGTTTCTTCCCCGACTCGAGTCCTGCTCTCCACAAGCCAATGTATCACTTAGTTCTAATTCATGTGTCTTCTTGTGATTTTTTTATTCGCTTAGATGAAGATTTTACAATATTGATAACTTTGTCCAACATTGAAAAAAATTCGAAACGGAGTCACATTGTTTGGCCGGAGAAATCAAAGTCAATTGCAACCAATGAGCAAAACAATACACATTATATGTGTATGAACAATAATTCAAAAACAATGCCTGCAATCCATTCCATTGCCCACACATGTTACTTGCATCATGATATCCTTGACTTCGTAAGTTATGAACTTGAAAATTAAACTCAGGAAGAACTTTAGATATTTCATGCTTAACAGAACAATTTTTTGTCTATTCAAGGTGCTTCTAGCATTTCGTCTGAAACACTTAAGCATGAAATATGTGAAGTTCATTATGAGTTCAATCTTCAAGTTCATAAGTTACGAGGTCAAGGATATGATGGTGCAAGTAACATGTGTGGACAATGGAATGGATTGCAGCATTGTATTTAAATGATTGTCCATATGCATATTATGTGCATTGTCTTGCTCATAGGTTGCAATTGACTTTGGTTTTTTCGGCTAAACAATGTGATCTCGTATGGATTTCTTTTCAATGTTGCACAATATTATCAACATTCTAAAATCTTCACCTAAGCAAATCACATAACTCCATGAGCCACATAGATTAGAACTGAGTGATATGTTGGCTCGTGGAGAGTGGGACTCAGGTCGGGGAAGAAACCAAATGACACCCTTTCAAAGATGAAATACCACTCATTGGGGGCTCACATTATGATTATATCTTGAGTATGCCAGATATGTATAATGCAATGTGCCAATGTGTAAAGTTTTAGGAAATATTCCATGTGATGGTTCAAATCCCAAAGTTTGACCTGAAATTGGTGGTACTTACATAAGTGCTAAGAGCTTTGATATTGTGTTTGGTTTGCATTTATTGGAAGCACTTATGCGTATAAGAGATCTTACTTGTTAGGCATTACAAAAAATAATGTTAAGGTTTTATCTGCAATTAGTTTTGTTCAAATTGCCAAAGATTTACTTCAAAAGTTACAGAATGAAGAATGAGAGAGCTTGTTTTAAAAAATCCATGATTTTGCTTGAGCATGAAACAATGTAGTTGACATGAAAAGCAAGTTTAGACATGGTTGAAAAGAGATGGATATGCAGCCTTATTATTGTTTTGAATTTTTTTACCCAAAGTATCGATTTGCAATTGACACAGTTAAAGTATAGATTTAATGAATCGTCAGTTCAATTGCTTCTCCTTATCGTTGCTTTAGATACAAAAATTCATTTAAATCATACATTGTTGACAACATCTACAAGTTTGTTTTAGAATTCTATCCCAAATTACTTTCAATCGCATGAAAGTAATGCTTTGAAGAGTGAATAGCAATTTTACGAACCTCACATCAAAATCCTCGGTTTCATGTTCATTCTTTTGCGAAGTTGAGTGAAGAGCTGATCAAATCTCAGAAGGCGGAAGACTTTAAAATGATTTCACAAGTGCTACATCTTGTATTGACCTTTACATGTTTCTACTACAACCACAATGGAACATGTGAAAACTGAAATTCACAAGAAGATGAATGATGAATTTCTTGTCGATCGTTTATGCATCTTTATTGAAAAAGAACTTGCCAAGTTGCCAACAAAGTTGATGTTGAGTTAGTCATTGATGATGAGTATGCTAAGGTCAAAGAATGTCCTATTCAGCTAACGTTTTAGTTTCATAAATTGTATGTACTGCATATACATATTGTTATGAATTTTAATGGATTTTAATCAGTATGTCCGAACTCTTTACCCGTTTACACTTTACATTTTTTAGTTGATAACCGGGGGGGGGGGGGGGGGGGGGGGGGGGGGTGAACTTCCATCCTGGCAACGCCCCTGAGAGCAATACTTTAATAACTCTTAGCAAGTCATGGTGATTCTATTAGGTCAATTCTTCCAGTAGATGGATCTTTCTAGGTGGAACAAACCAAAGGGAACCAATCATCCTTAAACATATGCCATGAGAAATTCTGGTTATGTAGAAATTCATCCAAAAAATGTGAAAATCTCTTGTGCCTGATTTGTGGTTAGTTATTGATTTATCAGACAGGGTATTGGAACCGAGGAGAGCAGAATGTTGTTCAAAATTGAGCATGGATGGAGATTCATGGAGTTGGTAGAAAGGATGGAATGGGTACAGTAGTGATTGGGGGTGTTTCTGTGGCAGTGATGAGCAGAGACGGTGTATGTGTTGTCTTTATTCGCCCTGTAGACAAGTCTCTTGTGGTGACTGGTGAGCTTGATGTCTTCCCAACAGACAGATGCATCTACATCAAAATATTCTATTTTTGCTTTGTCTTATGTACCCGGCACACTTTCCTTTGTTTAATTAGCCCAAAATTTTGGTCTGCACAAAGATATGAATATATCGTCCGTGTGTGCATGCGCAATTTATACACAAATAAAAAAAATCTCATATTCAACATAATCAAAGCTTGGAATTTAGGCAGTGATTCAATGGTTTATGACAGGTTCATTTTTCCAGGACTTCAGGCATCAACCTTATTTTGATATCGAGTTCAATATAGTCATTCGAATTCTGAGCTAGAGTTGATCCTCACCCAGAATAGCTTTGTGTGGAGATGTGAAAATGCAATATATGAAAATGGACATCATTTAACGGAGATGGAAATTGTAATAATGACAGATGATGCAGAATAAGAAAAAGAAACCAGATCTCACCTATCATTCCTTCAGGGTTCATGCTTTGGTTGTTTTGCTTTGGATGATAATATCTACATGACTCTCCATAATGACATGACCCCTATGTGAGAGAGAGAAATATCCCATCAAAATACATTCAACAAAACTAACAAGAACAAAGCTCTCACTTGATCAATCTGTCTTCCGGCGTCAACACATTATTGTAGTATTAAGTTGTCATTCAACAAGGAAAAGGCATTTTACAGACATTGAGATATGCTTCTACTCATTAAAGTTCAAAATTCAAATTACAATTTACAAGTCTTATAGATCATTATATAGTGGTTCTCTTAAAAAGGCCACGTTAACATGTTGGGCAATTAAAAGATTTCAAAAGTGAATTGAATCGAGGAATGAATGCATGTGAATTTTCCTTCAGTGCTCTGCAACTCTTCATGCTTTCCCCTCCTTTTATCACCTGGCATTTGATTTTGAGACTTGACTACTGGTATAACACAGTCAAGAATTTGTTATACCTAGACTGAAATACACATATTTAAGATCTCTGGTTACACATTTAAAAACTCTTTGGTGTTTGACTTTTGTGCCTTTTATTGATTTTGCACAGTTGCACCAAATCCCTCGACACCTTTGTATATTGGGGTATTATCAAAGACACATTCATTCATATATTGTTAGTGTTGAGGCATTTTTGGTGATATACATATACCTTTCTTTACCATTTCTTTAGCTAACCAAATGATATAATAATATTCCACAATTCCTATGTTATCACTTCTTTTATTAATACCTTTTATTCTCACTCATGAACCAAAAGGAAAAATAGTCTCTGTTTACACTTCATAGTAGAACCCATATATAATTAAACTTAATGAAATAAGACGGCTAATTATATATTTTTAGGAAGAACTTTCACAAAGTTCACAAATCAAGGATTCTAGGATGAACTTACAATTCCAGTTATAAACTTTGGTATTTGCAAGAAATCCCATTTTCATTCAATTCCATGAGACGAATAGGTAATTCAAAACTGCTAATGTGGACATGCTCTTGGATATATAACTTAAGAATCTTGTGGAGTCTGATGGACACAAAAAGAAAAAAGGATGAAAGATTGAGAAAGAGTAGAATACTCTTTCCTAGGAGTGTTTTCACCATGGTTTGAGTACAAACCCTATAATGTGATGACACCCCCAAGATTACTGCTACTATAATCTGCGATACTCATAATTCTCTCAGAACCAACGTTCACAATTGCGCAATGCAATTGCGCCTTGAGGCGCGCATCTGCTATTTCCCAGCCTGAGGCGTAATATTGCATTGCATATTGCGATGCCATCTATAGCGTACGTTATTATGCCTAAGGCGTACGCAATTTAACTTACGCCATGAGGCGTATATAAGGCGTAGGTTATTTATTTAGTGGGTCGATGTTAAGTTTGGTCCGCTGGGCCCACTTATTACTTATATACGGCCTTAGCAAGTTGGCAGTTCCATTGTATATGCTGCTTCTTCCCATTCGGAATGCTACGCAATTAGCAGTTCCTTCCACAGCCATCAACAGTTCGGCGCAAATTGCAGAGCCTTCTTCCAGTTTGGTCGCAATCAGTAGAGCCTTCTTCCAGTTTGGTCGCAATCAGTAGAGCCTTCTTCCAATTTGGTCGCAATCAGCAGAGTTTGGTAACAATCTGCAGTACTCCTCTTTTTTATGCTTAGTTTTTGTTTCTATTGAATTTAATACGGAGTACTTAATATTAATGTTAATTTTCTGCCCATTAATACTTTATGTTTTTCCTTCAGTTAAGTTTTCAACTTTCAAGAGACCAATATTTTTTTCCCAGTTTATATATATATATATATATATATATATATATATATATATTATAATGATAACTTCAACTCTGTACTAACTTTTTTATGCTTTTTTATGCTCCTCTGTTGATGCCTTTTTGTTTCTATTCACTTAAACACTAATTATGTTAATTTTCTGACTATTAATATTTTATTATTATCCTTTGATTAAGTTTCAACTTATCAATATTTTTTTCAGATTTGTTGGTTTCTCTTGAATAATGCTTTTTAAGATATATATATATATATATATATATTTATATATTTACGCCTCAGCTATACGCCTCATTGCGCAATGAGGCTTACGCAATATGCAATTCTAAAAATCCGCCATGATTACGCAATACGCAATTACGAACATTGCTCAGAACAGGGCAAGAACGATAGAAGGAAAGTTCAGATTGTTAGGAAAAAGAGAGCTCCAAAATCCGATAAATCACTTAGTGGGAAGATCATTTTATAAGAATCTCAATCACACAATTTCATTTTAAGATTGACAGGTTAAACACGATAATGCATATATTATTTCCTCCATGCCACTATACTTCTCTTATCTGTCCTTTTTTGTTTGCCTTATATCGTGTTTGCTTGTATTTGGGGGGTTAAATTCATTCACACTACCTCGGTTCTTTATTTTTACAACAATTTGACTTTTGCAGTACTAAGATACTTGATTTTGACCCCACTTTATTTACTAATACAACAACATCATCCAAGTCTTAGTCCCGAAAGATTTTGGGGTCGGCTAACATGAATCAATACATGATCATCATCATTATCATTATCATTATCATTATCATTATCATTATCATTATCATTACCCCAGTGCCGCAAAGGCTCCCCACCTACGGTGGGGTAAGGGGGGTCGGATGTACGCAGTCTTACCTCTGTACTAAAGCACAGAGAGACTGTTTCCGGATGACCCATAGTGAAAGATAAGAAAGATAAGAATGATAAAAGGGTAAGGTATGAAAAAAGATAAAAAAGATAAATTGAGATAAAGATAAGATAAAACTTATAAGATAAAAAGCGTATATATAAAATAAAACAATAAAAGGATAAAGAACATAATAAAGATCAAGAAGATAAAAAGGAAAAAAGGATGACAAGGGATCAATCCTCCACAATTTGTTGTTGTATTTACTAAAATATTTAAAAAAATCATATTAAGAAAAAGATTGCTAAACTTGTCTTAATGTAAAATTTCGAAATATGGAACTTTTATAACTTTTGGTAATAGTAAATCAAATACTTCGTATTAGGTTGTTAAACGTGTTTTGTCAAACATGAAAGCGGGGGTGGGGGGGCACTTTACAAATTTAATCCTCCCTCCATCCCCTATAATTGTCCCATTTTTTCATTTTTGGATGTCCCTCAATTATTGTCTCATACCATATTTGCTAACATTTGTATGGCTCTAATTCGTTCCTACTTTATTCATTCTTACTTTATCAACTCATTATCAACCACATAATTCTATTTTTCTTAAAAATTACACCGCTCCCTTCCATCCCAATATTAGGGGGACGGAGGTAGTACTATGTAATTTCATTTTCAGTGTCACTTCTTAATATCCCAAAGATACTCAGAAATATGTAGTATCGCATATTCAAATACGGAGTATGTCATTATAAGACACCAAGGACACGTTTACTTCACAGGTTGGTAAACGGTGCTTATTAAGATTCGCGTTAATAAACGGCGCATAAAATAAGCAGTGTTGTAAGCTCATGTTTACTTCAAAGGATTTAAAACACCGTTTAACATTAAAATGTCCAAAATAACCCTATAGATATATACACACACAAACATTCATGAACACAAGTATATAATATAATATGTGGGGTCACCTCGTACGCTTAGTCGCTTACCCACACCCTTAACCCCTAACCCGCCCCTGTACCCCCACCCCTCACTCTACCCCCAATTCCACACCCTTAACCCCCACCCCTTCCATACCCCTACCCTTACCACGACCTTACCCTCCACCACCGCTACTCCCACCCATACCAACCCCACCCTACTTGTGGGGTTAGGTCGAGGTAGGGGCAGGTGATATGGGGTAAAGGGGTAGGGGTTGGGAAGTGGGTGGGGTCGGGGTCAGAGGTGGGGTCGAGGTAGGGAAGGTGGTAGGGCTAAAAGGGTAGGGTCGAGGTAAGAGGTACAAGTGGGGGTTAAGGGGTTAGGGTGGGGGTGGGGTAGGGGGTAAAGATGTAGGGTCGAGGTAGGGAAGGGGGTGGGGTCGGGGTCAGGTCAAGGTAGGGGAAGGTGGTAGGGGGTAAAGGGTAGGGTGAGGGTGGGGGTGGGGTAGGAGCAGGGGGTAGGGGGTAAAGGGGTAGGGAAGGGGTCGGGGTCGGGTCAAGGTAGGGGAAGGTGGTAGGGGGTAAAGGGTAGGGTGAGGGTGGGGGTGGGGTAGGGAAGGTTGTGGAGGGTAGGGTGGGGGTAGGGGTGGGTCGAGGTGGGGGCAGAGGGTAGGGGTGAAGGGGTAGGGTCGGGGTAAGGAAGGGGTCGGGGGTCGGGTCAAGGTAGGGGGAGGTGGTAGGGGTAAAGGGTAGGGTGAGGGTGGGGTAGGGCAGGTGGTGGAGGGTAGGGTCAGGGTAGGGGTAATGTGGGGTGGGGTATGGTCGGGTCAAGGGTGGGTCGGGGGTCAGGGTGGGGTTAGGGTCGTGGTAAGGTAGGGTAGGGTGGGGTAGTGGGGTAGCAATAGGGTAAGTGAAAGGGGTAAAGGTAAGGGTAAATTCGGAAAATGAAAAAACTTAAACTGACGCTTAATTAATATATGGGGGGAGATATGCTTAGTAAGCGACACTTTAAGTACCCCTTTCGGTTAGTAAGGGACGTTTTAAGCAACTTGCGTGTTTACTTCACCTGTCTTACTAATCTGGTGTTCAGTCTCCTCGCACAATGCAAATTAGAGGCAAAACCAGAGATTGAATTAATGAGAACAACAAGGATTATGGGAAAACTGCAGTAAAAAGAATGATGAAATGAAAAGGAAAATTTAAGGATACTAGCAGAAAGGTACCGTTCTAACGAAGCTTTCACAGACTCCATTGCCAAAAGGTTTCGGATCGCTAGGTCTTTGAGGATCTGCAAAAACAGCAATCAAAGAATTGAAATAAATTTCTAATATGAAATATACATCAGCACACACCCATTCACATGTATTACGGAGTATAAATATATAATCCTGCAGTCTCAAATTGATTTGCTAAAAATGTTAATTAATTGAAATTTGTATATTTAGAAATTAGATTCAAAGTTCTATTGAATCTAAGCAATAAAATCCAAAAATGATTACAATTTGATATTCAAAATTATAGAATACAATAGAATTGCAAAGGTAAAAGTGAAATTCAGAGGAAGTAATTGTGATTATAAACGAGAAGTGGAGTGACTGACTGCGTAGGGAGTTGTACCAGAGAGTTTTGGCTCTCTGGTGTTGAAGTCCCTGAAGGTGGCGCCGCCGTGCCGCAGCTGTGTCCTGGAACTCTTTGTCACAATAATCGCAGTAGTATTTTCCTAGAGGCATTTTCAGATTAAAAAAACAAAAAAAATGGTGTTAGCTATGGCTTCACTCTTAAAACAAATTAAACAATACTCCGTTCCAAAACAATTTAGGTTTAGGTCCAAAATAAACTTAACATTTTTATTTTTGTTTAATTTTTTAGGGATAAATAATTAAAATATCTCAAACTTTGAAGCGGTGTGAGATAAGCATCTCAAACTTACATATATAATTTAAATACTCCAAACTTTGTATAAAAAGTTATTTTAGCACCATAATCAAGTATTGTTTTTTTTTTTCAAAAATGTAAATTTATGGTGTTTATTGCATAATTTAAAATATTTTAGATTATGAAATAAATAATGTTACCCCCAATCTATATAATCGCAAAGCTTTTAATTTGCTATTCTAGATTATGTAATTAACCTCATAAAGTTACATTTTTTAAAGAAATAATACATGATGATGGTTCAAAAATAACTTTTTATATAAAGTTTTATGTATTTAAATTACATGTGTAAGTTTGGGGTGTTTACCTCACACCCCTTCAAAATTTGGGGTATTTTTATTATTTTTCCCCAACTTTTTAATATAAAGTTACTTTTATACTCTCACAACACTTTTATGTACTTTTAAGGAGCATAATGAGGCATGACTGCCGCCGCATGTGGGAAACCCTAGAAGGGTGAGCCATCGTTTGGAGAGGAACGACGAAGACTCTTGTCCGTCTGAGCTTAAAAAAGTGGTCTATACACTCGTATGCATGGTGTTTTCTTCCCTAGGATTTCTGGGGTTCTTGTTATGTCAATTTTGACAGTGATGTTATGGATGGATTCTTATCAAATTAATGACAACGAAGTTTTGCTGGCGGAGGCTACGGCGTCAAGGGCTGCGAATGGGATTCGAGCGATGAAGGATGAAGATGAAGTGATGATGATCCCCCCCTCCTTAGGCATGTCAATGGGTCGGGGGTCTAGGCCCGGACCCGACCCAGACCCGGTTGTTTTTAATGGATACGGATGAGTCTATATTTTATTCCGTTTACCCGGACCCGGATTCGCACCCGTTAGTATTTTAAATAAACGGGTCGAGTATGGTACATATGATTCCGACCCGTTAAGGACCCGGACCCGTTTAAAATTTCTTATTTGTATACACAGACACTAATACATAAAGTGATTAGTTATAACACTTTAAATAAAATAGAAACTAATATACATAATCCTCTATACTTAATAGCAATACAAACTGATCTACACCATTCATTCAATTGAAATATCACCGTCAGATTTGATTTTATCATTGCGCTTCTTCCTTTGCCATCTTCACTCACGCAAAGCTCCGCACTCTCCACCTTCTCATCGTCACTTCTCCACCTCAGTTTTGAAGCACCCACCAGACTCCAGGCCATCATTACCCTTTCCGTTCCTTCGCAAATCAGCCTCCACCTCAAGACTCAAAGCACCCTCTGGCCGGAAAAAAAAATTCACCGGCGGTTATCCATATTCATAGAGGAGCTGAAACACTTCATTTTCGGTAGTGATTCCTCTTATTAATCTTTTTTATATAATTGAATTTTTGTTTTGTAATGTATGAGTTAGGAGATTCTGAAGTCAGATTGAGTTCCTCTCAAAGCACCCTCATTGAATTTTTATTCCTCTTAATAATCTTTCTTCTTCTCCTTTTCAATTTCTGATTCCATTTTGATGCATTGATATTTCATTTTCTACATTCATTCAATTGGAGGTACTTTGTTGGTTTCAGATTTGCCATATCCAAACTATTTTGTTGTGAAGGGTTTTTAAGCATCTCTATGTACACTTTCCGTTGTGTGTCTTATAATTTGCATGTAATATGTTTGATAAAATGCTTAAGCTATTTTCTTTGTTTCTATCTACTGGTTTATCAAATACATAAATTTTGAATACTTTGCCTGGTTACTTGCACTAACAACCCCACAAAATAGTGAATTGATCGATATAAAAACTTGACTCCCTATTGGATATATAGGAGTGTGTCTTTGTTATATATTGATTGTTCTGTATTACAGTTTATTTATTATTGCAGCCTGTTCATAAGTGGATGGTTATACATCTTTATTTCCCATGCTTAGGAAATGGCATACCAAAGGTAATTCGATTTCTTTTAGACTCAGTTTTTTGTTAATTTTTTTTAAAAATTACCTTGTTAGTTTGTAATTGTTTTTGGCTTATGTTATCTGAATTGCTTTAGAGTTTTTTAACATAACAAGTAGTACACATTGCAATTAATATGAATTGCAGGACTTAGGCACTTCATTGATTTGACATATGTGTCATCTCTCCTTCAATTCACATCCGACTATTCAAAGACTACTCACTGTAGATGGCGGTAATCTGTGACAGTGTGTTTGGAATGAGAGGGAGGAATGCTAATAAAGTAAAGGTATCATAAACGAGGGGATGGATGATCATGATCCCCATAGACAGTATACATTTGCTTCTTCTATGGTAGAGATATTAGAAGCTCGCAGTAAACGATCCAAGCAAACCTGCAAAGAAGTTGCACCTTCTGCAATGTTTTCTTCCAAATTCTTACCTTTATTAGGGTTGCCAAATCAGAACAAATCCACAATCAGATCAAGAAAAAATGGTTGTTTGCAGATCTTTTAGAATTTTATTAACAAGAAACTAGCATGATAATGTTAATGTTTTGAGGGGTAGAGATGGGAGGAGCTTTATTCCATCATTTGCAATGGAGCCAAAGATTCATTATTTTTTGGCTTGAGATTATGATGGAATAAAGCAAAATGGCTCACTAAACTGTCTGCGCTTCTTTGTTATGAAGCAGCAGTCAGTCCATGCAATTTTGGACGGGATTTTCACTATGGGTCATCCGGAAACAGTCTCTCTGTGCTTTATTACAAGGGTAAGACTACGTACATCCGACCCCCCTTACCCCGCCATAGGTGGGAGCCTTTGCGGCACTGGGGTAAATGAAAATGATGAAAAATGATGAAATAATTTGGACTATTGTTGTCAGTGCAGCCTATGTAGCATGTGAAGTAAAGTATGTTCATGTAAAAGCAGAACTGGTAGTTCTTTTGATGAAGAATTTCGAAGGGTTTTTGAAAAGTTCGGTTTTTCTGAATTTGTTCCTGAGGTGTAACAAAGGAAAGGGTTTAAGTTCCTACTTAGAGATATATTCATAACTAAGGAAAAAGGGTTTAAGTTGTTCCTAAGGTATAACAAAGGAAAAAGGGTTTAAGTTCATATTTAGATATAAAAAAAACTCATAAAGCAAAAAGGAAAATCAAAAGGGTTTAAGATCCTACTTACATATATTTCAACAAAATCTCATAATTTCTAAAGTTGAGAGCTTTGCTCAATGTAGTAACTTAGTTTTTTGCTATTTTGCATTTAATGGATTTTTTCATATATTTTTAGTTGTATTTAAGGGATTTCTTCCTTTAGTTTTAGTTGTATCTAAGGGGTTTCTTTCTTGAGTTTTAAAATTGTTGGTCGACTTATCCTTTTTAATGATTGAAAAGATCTGTTTTTGTCATTGAAAAAATGTACTTCTTGAGCCTATTTGAATGGAAAATCTATTTGAATGAGTAATTGGAAAATGAAAATCTATAGACTTTGATAGTTGTAGAGAATTGTAATTCATAAGATTGTTATTTCTCGGGTTCTTTCTAATCTTTCAGCATCCCTGGTACTAATATACTTCTCTTGAGGCTGATCCCATCACTTATGGCTATATTTGGGATCTTTTGCACTGCCATATAACCTTACACCACTTAGAGAATGGGGATACAATAGGGACGGTCCACATTGATTTAGAATAACTCGTGTGCAAATTATTAGATGACACATTTCTCTTCCTTATTAGTGTTGGAAGAATACCTTCAAGAACTCTTCTTAAACACGTTGTTATGTTAAGAGTATAAGGGAGGAACAAGCAAACATCATATTTATAATAAGCAAACTTAATTTGATCAACCCAACAAATCCAGTTCTGCAGTTCAAGCGCCACTCTTCAGTCTTCACTAATAATCTACAGTTTCATTATATAACTGAACTTTTAATTCATTTAAAACTTATTGCTTTCTAATTAGTTATTGACTAATTCTAATCTATCTTGAATGTTGACAAATTAGATTCTTATGTTTTTAATTTAGATTTTTATACTTCTAAATGAGCATTTGAATTGATCTATAAATCCTACCTAATAGAGATGCAGAGGCCTGGTTGAAGGAGAGATCAAACCCATGAAAGTCTCTGGGCTCCCCCCTCCTGATAGGTTAGGGTTTGTGAGTTCAAATCAAACCTATTTCAAGCAAGCATTGTCTTTGTCCTCTGTTCCATCCTATTCATAGAACAACACCGAGGAAAGAAACTTCTTTTGCGTGTTCCTGCAGATCCAGAAGCACTCTTCGCGATTGTTGGCAGGTTTGTGAAGAAGAAGCTTGATCAGCAGGATGGGGTTCTGGATATTCAGATACAGGTCTTTGGTTTGGAATCCCGAGTTTGAATACGATAAGAAGAAGATTGGGTACATCAGGGATTACAGGCGGGTTTTCGATCTAGCTTGCACTGATCACCGAGGTATGCCTCAAAAACATGCTAGAACTTGCACCTTGGAGAAAAGTGAGGGAGCCATCTGTTGGGGTGCTACCTATTGTGAACGAGGAGGGGCAGAGAAGGAAAAGAAGGCAATGGAGTATTTGGAGTGAAGAGAATGCGAATATGATCACAAATCTTCAATTGACTTTTTCACGGAACAAGACCTTGCTTATCCTATTCACACACCCTGCTGTAACTGTATATTTTCAAAATGGAGAAAGCCTTGCATGATATCGGGCATGGGGATAAGTACATAGTGGAACTTGCAAATGAAGTGAGGAAATCCCTTGGGATGGTGGGAGTTCCAGATCTGGCAAAGGAAAAGAAGATGATAATCATTGGCAGTGGCAGCAACATTCATCCACCCCTGCAACTCAACAAGTGAGTACACTTATCCCCCTTCAAATCCGTCCCTTACCAGAAGCTATTGTTCCCGCGGCTGCTGCCATTGCCACGGATACTTGATGACTATGATGAGTTGCTGAAACCAAGT